CACAGGCTCAGAAGTCTCGCGAGAGACGGTCTTGCTGTACGTCGAGAACTGCTACACGCCCTCAGTTAAAAGCATGCTCGTTGCTAGCACAGTGGCAATCTTTGTGCAGTGCTGCTTTCACACCGGACGCAGCAACCAGAGCGCAGAGCATCCAGTGTCGAAGCGTCAAAGAAACTAGGCCAATATTTGAACCAGCATCCAAATTTAGGTGTTTAAGCACTTTTTGACGCCAAACCCTGTTCGGTGTAAACGTACCATAAAAGCTTGGTGCCAAGGACTGTTTTACTAAAAATGAAATCCTGAAGCAAAGAAGCGTGTTTTTCTGTTAAATTCATGTTGTTCTTTTTGTTTGTTTTTTAGAATCTCTAATCACATGCCAGCACGCATTGAAGTCTAACCTGAAGAAGAGTTTCCACAGTGTGTTCGAAGGGATTGCTAAATCCGGAAACCAAACCCTTCTAAATCAAATCTACACAGAGCTCTACATTACAGAAGAAGGCACTGGAGATGTCAACAGCAAACATGAAATCTGTCAGATTGAGAAAGTGTCCTGGAGGCCAGACAGACCAGATGTAGCAATTACACATGGAGACATATTTAAGCCCATACCCCAAAGAGATAAACCAATCAGAACAGTGATGACAAAGGGAGTGGCTGGCATTGGAAAAACAGTCTTAACGCAGAAGTTTACTCTGGATTGGGCAGAAAACCAAACCAACCAGGATGTTGATTTCACATTTCCATTCACATTCAGAGAGCTGAATCTGTTGAAAGGGAAGAAATTTAGCTTAGTGGAGCTTGTTCATCACTTTTTTAGTGAAACCAAAGGAATCCATAGGTTTGAAGATTTGAAGGTTGTATTCATCTTTGACGGATTGGATGAGTGTCGATTGTCCCTGGATTTCCACAACAATGAGATCTTGACAGATGTAACAATGTCAACCTCAGTTGATGTTCTTCTGACAAACCTAATCAGAGGAAATTTGCTTCCCTCAGCTCACCTCTGGATAACCACAAGACCTGCAGCAGCCACTCGGATCCCTTTTGAGCTTGTTTGCTTGATGACAGAGATCAGAGGATTCACTGACCCACAAAAAGATCAATACTTCACAAAACGATTTACACATAAGCAGGCAAAAAAGGTAATCTTCCATATAAAGAAGTCACGTACCATCCATATCATGTGCCACATCCCGATATTCTGCTGGATCACAGCTACCGTTATGGAAGACATGATGACAAGACAAGATGGCGAAGAGCTGCCAAACACTCTGACTCAGATGTATATCTACTTCCTGGTGGTGCAGGCAGAGGTGAAGAAGCGCAAGTATGATGTAGGAGCTGAGACAGATTCTCCCTGGAAGATGATCGAGTCTCTGGGAAAATTGGCTTTTGAGCAGCTGTTGAAAAGAAACATCCTCTTCTATGAAACTGACCTCACAGAGTGTGGAATTGATATCCAAACAGCTTCAGTGTGCTCAGGAGTGTTCACACAAATCTTCAGAAAAGAGAGAGGGTTGTATCAGAAAAATGTGTTCTGCTTCATTCATTTAAGTGTTCAGGAGTTTCTGGCTGCCCTTCACGTTCACCTGACCTTTATCAAATCTGGATCCAATCTGCTGGCAAAAGACGAGACAAAATCAGGGGATTTTGAAAAGGGAAACCTTACAACTTCAGAGATTGATCTCTACAAGAGTGCAGTGGACATGGCCCTGGAGAGTCCAGATGGACACTTGGATTTGTTCCTCCGTTTTCTGCTTGGTCTTTCACTGGATACCAATAGGTGTCACTTAAGAGGGCTGTTGGTAGATACAGACAGGCAGACAGACAGACAGAGGCAGGCAGGAGAAGACTCAGTCACTAATAAGGAAACAGCCCAGTACATCAAAGAGAAGCTGAATGACCATCTATGTGTAGAGAAAAGCATCAATCTGTTCCACTGTCTAAATGAACTAAACGATCAGTCTCTGGTGGAGGAAATCCAACAATCTCTAACTACAGGAAGTCTTTCAGCACACCAGTTGTCAGCTGCTCAGTGGTCTGCTCTGCACTTCATCCTACTATTTTCAGAAAAGGTTTTAAATGTGTTTGACCTGAAGAAATACTCTGCTTCAGAGGAGGCTCTTCAGAGGCTCTTGCCAATCGTCAATGCCACTAGCAAAGCTATGTAAGTTCAGATGATGTCTATTTTAATTATGCATCTGATGATTTATTAACGAAAAAGAAGTTACTAAAATATTTTTTCCTTTCAGACTAAGTGGCTGTAACCTCTCAGAGAGAAGCTGTGAAGCCCTGTCCTCACTTCTCTGCTCAACAACATCCAGTCTGAGAGATCTGGACCTGAGCAACAACAACCTCACAGACTTGGGAATTAACCTGCTGTGTGAAGGACTAAGAAGTCTAGACTGTAAACTGGAAACTCTCAGGTAAGAATCATTTAAGTTGTTCTTTAAAACAATTAAGTTGTTCTATTAGTTTGTGCCTTAATGGACACAGCCAAAACTTTTTTATTGTAATACATCTACAGAATATGTGGCATGGTGCAGAATAAAAGTATTTATTTAACTGAAAACTTGGCATTTAAAAACTTTTTTATTGTTTTAATGGGTCCAAAACCTGGTTATGATGCCAACGTCTTCATAAAAGGAGTTTGCACCAATAGAAATAGTAGGTTGAAGTCACAAGAGACAGAGGTAAGGTGGTATTTCTTTATTAGGCCCAAGTGAGAGATTTTCTTCTCTGCATTTAACCAATGCTAGTGATCTAAACATGTTTTTACAAGATTGTTAAAGGATGACAGCGGCTGGTCTCTGATCTAGTGTAGGCGAGGTTAAGGGCTCGGGTGGCAACGCTTCTGCCCTCCAGTTCAGCCATTTTGTGTCAAAGTTTACCCTGGTGGATGAGAGAGTTTTGGCACAGAAAACCCTGGTGGGGGCGCTAGACAGTGCCATCTTATGGGACTTCATTCTACTGGGGAGATTTGATATTGATATGC